CCCCAAAACCCCAAAACCCCAAAACCCCAAAACCCCATAAAGGAGCGACACGGCTGAAATCCAATAATATTTGTTTCCAATGAACATAACTCGACTTTGCAGGCAAGATCATGGCCACGAAAATGTTGGTCAATCTGAGTTTGGTGTAAGGACTTCAAATCTGTTCTGCTTTGGGCTTGAAACTGTTTAAGTCACATGATATTATTTTGCTGTCCTAAATTATTTTGGCGGATACAGTCTCAAATTAATATAACAAAATAACGCTCTCAAAGAGACTTTATTATTCAGTCAACAGCTGCCGTTTTTAATAATTGTGAATTATTTTAGCCCATCAACAGTATTTGTGATTTCTTTGGAAATGCTCTCGTTTATTTGAACTAACTTATTATAGAACAGATCAGAAATTCACCCATTAATCAACCAGAAACAACAATTGCTTCTTCTTGATGCTTCAGCCCATATCAGCCAGAATTCGGTGGGCAAATTGTGCTTTAAGCACAATAAAACTGAAATAGAAGTTGACTATAGCTTCTTTAATCCTAATCTCATCAGGCATGAAATATTTGGGGAAATTCCTATGGCTCATGATGATTTTACAAATCCATTTAAAGAGAAAATATTTTCTCCAATCTTTGCAACTGAGACTCCACAAGTCCAAAGAGCAACACACAAACCTTCAGTCCGAGTTGACATTCATAGACGAAAGATGCTCAGGACTATCAAAAGATTTTATTACGAATTCTTCAAGCTGCATAACCTCAGATTATTCAATAGAAGACTTAAAAGAGTCGAGTCTTCTGTGATCCTCAGTTCGCTCTCAAAATTCTGTGAAGTTTATGTTAGCCAGGCTTATGCAGAACAAATGGCTCAGTTTATGTTCAGATTTCTCAAACTCAACTGAGCTGATAATTTTGTGTCTGATTCTGAAGCTTCGATGGCTGGCCAGAAAGTGTATGACTGCACTTACAACTACAGCATCAACAAGTTCGACTCTTTGTTTGAGTCAGAGCACTTCAGGATACTCATACTATCGTATTCTGAGCTGCAGCAGTTAAGAGCATCAAACCTCCAAGAAATGGAGTCTCAGCGAAAATGGATAAACCAAGTGTATGCAGGAGACGGAGAATTCAGCAGAATCATCTCTCGATACTTACATATGAGTCCAGAGAGTAAGACAGCTGAGCATTTGATGAAAACACGATATCAATGTGAAGCTTACTAACCTTCTAATTTAAAATTCCTAATCAACTTCCATAACATATTTATTCGGGGATTCCAAAAGGTGCAGTTAATTTCTAAAGTTATATAATCATAAACTTTTCTGAACTTGGCAAAGTTTTAGGCTTCTGAATCTAACAAGAAAGACTCTTGAAGGGTGGTAATACCACTTATGAGATGTATGTCCTTTGTCTTCTCCTCTCATTTGCATAAAACTAATTGATGAATGAATAAAGAGTGAAAGTTATAACTGCAAATAGGTTTACTCTCTTTTGGTCTGACATTAAATAGCTTACTCTCAATTTTCTAATAACATTTAGTTGATGCTCCTTATCAGTAAGTTATAGCTACAAGTTAAATTCAATATGTCTTATATTTGGTTCTTGGTGTTTTAAAACACAAGAACTAGGAGAGAAAGTTAAGAAGATCATTCCTAATCCATCTTATATCTGAGGAAATTTTAAAACTTAGGCAATATTTTAGGAATTTGCAAAATTAATAATTTTCTATTGGGTAATTGTCAGAAATTATGAAGGATATGTAAATGTCTTTACTTTGTATCTCTCTGTCGTAATCACGAGTACGTCTCTATACTAGCCAGTAATTAATTTTAGAGGCTCTTTGTCTCTATCTTGATTAAATATTAAGAATACATCACAAGAACTGGCATTCAGATATAAACTAAAAGTCAGCAATTGCACTATTTTCAGGCAAAGTTTATCATATTTCATTCAACTCTGAATTGAAAGAGGTTCCTCCTTCTCTTTGAAGTATTATCTTACAGTTTAAGGTTATTAAAGCCTCATGTTCATGATTATCAATCTAGAGATTTTTCTGGGTTTTTAAAATTTGGTTGTAGATCATAAGTTCTTTCCGAGTACTGTTTATCCTGGAAATTTTATCAATATCTAACCTCAGAAATTCATATCCAGAAGACATGTTTTTGGTTCACAGGAGGTATGGCTTACTCTTGAAGTATGCTATTTTTGATTTTATATGCATAATAATATTTGAGGAACTCAAACTAGCTTTTTAGAATCATCTCTAAATTTAGGACCCATCTCAATGCATCTTCACTGAGTGGCATGGTACTATTTAAACTTATTTTATTGCAACTCATATTTTTATAATTTCCTTGCAACTAGAAAGAGAGTAGAGAGTTTGACTGCCTTATAGCTCAGATTGCTCTTTTAAAGACATATAGAGTTGATTAGAAAGTACTTTAACGACTTGAGAATCTAATTTATTTGATAAAAAACCTAAGTCTATACCATTTCATCGAGGCCAGAGATTTTTATCCTCTATTCTACAAATCATGGTACTTTAATGAATGGAACAATCCAGAGAGATCACTGAGATGTACAAGGGGTTGCATCAAATCTGACTTTGTATTGCCAGCTTCTGGTAGGATAAATGCCAAATAAATTTAGTGAAAGACTATGAAATATTGGAAAATTTCAAGAGTCATAAATTTCTGCTCTATTTTTAATCTGTGTCTGTCTTTGTTCATCCTCTAGAAATACCAATGCATACCAGAATTATTACATGATGAAAATCCTAGACTGAAGGATTTTACTCATAATTTACGATGTAAAATTATGAAAGGTGCGGCTAACTTTGACAGTGAAACACAGTTGAGACTCTGAAAAATACAATAATTCGAAACGATTCATTTCGCAATAATATCAAAATACCGTCTTTGGTGACAAGATTATAAGTCTTGGTGTCTTTGCTAGGTTTTAAATCTGATTATCCTATCGTTATGAGAGAACACTTAGAACTGAAATAAAAAATTATGCTACTAGTATCTCTAAGCAAGTCGAATGCCTTAAGCTGATTAACTTAGGTCATTCGAGAAGTCAGTTAAAAATTCAAATGGAGGTTTATATTATTTTCCATATTCCTTAATATTCAACTCAGACATCTTGAAGTGGGGTTTTGGGGTTTTGGGGTTTTGGGG